CGACGAAGCTTATTGCTATTGGTTAATTATTAAATGGAAATTTAATTACAGCGTTACAGGAACAGAGTCTAGTAAACTGTGTTTTTAAGGATACAAATACTCTAGCCAAAACAGAAAGTAGCGCCAGTTCTCCGCACGGTACCAATGTTAAGAAGCAGCCATCATCAGCAAATCTTCCGCCAGTTAGGAGCCAGCCATTCTACCATCGAACACGAACTTCCCCACTGCCGACTACTTGAACGATTTCTTACATGCTCATTTCCATTTCAAGTGCCCACGATAAGTGCCTCGTGTAAAGATGTCTTAATACCGTGTTGTTGTGGGTTCTGTATATTTGAAACGTTTGCTAGTTTCTGAAGTTATAGTAAAAATAAACTGTTTGCAAATGGAAAATGTCTGCACACGCAAATGCTGACATGTTCAGTGCTGTCATATGAAACTTAATAAATGCTTGCATCTGTGGTTGAAATTTTCTGTTATTACACAAGTGCATGTGACTCCGTTATGTTAGTGGTTTTAAAATGTATATCACAACATTAGTAAACTTAGTGCTTCATGTCGTATTCGCCTTCATATTTATACTGTTTAAATGTTAGCACTTAGGTTTCATGTGACAAATAAAAAATACAAGAACCATACTCTTAAGCGTAGCTTTGCAATATTTTGGCTGAATGCTTCGGATACCTTTATATTTGAAATGTGACTGTATTTGCATTTACGATGATTCCATAACTAACATACAAGGGTGGTAAGCAGCATATTGACTTACTATCCTATGTTACTCGCCGTGGACAGATACGTATTCTGCATGAGCCAGTTTGAAATAGGATTTTGGTTCTGCAGCACTCAGAGTCCGTAATAGCTTCATCGACTTCTCAAAAAATTAAGGTTTGACACATACCGGATCGCTTGCCTGAAAGTACGTAGCCTAAACTATGGTTAATTCCTCTTATATCGATTTTTTATTCCATCATATCCTTAATGGTATCGTTCATTCACTGTTTCCATCGATTCTTCACAAAAGTACATAATTTAAGAAAGTTGCAGTTCCTCTGGATGTTATAATTTTCACCCCCATCACTCCCACGCATGGAAGCTTTGATCCCCTCTGCAAAATCAGAAATTCAGCAGCAGTGAATCCCATTCCAAGAGGATATCGGAAGGAATACACCCCATGCTGGCTGCCTGAAACCGAGCTGCTTCTGAAAGAATACGAAAGGACTACCGACCCGATCATAGCAACCGAACTTTCACAGTCTTTGGATGCCAGAAGACGGCATCGATGGCGAAAATCTACCGAAAACCTCAACTTCACGCACTCGAGTGGTAAAGCAAAGAACTTACTACGCAGTTTGGGAACGGAGACCCATCAAGAAAACTGGTCCCCAGAAACGACAGCCAACGAAGTGTGTGCCAAACTGGCACAAAGCGCTAAATATGGGGCAGCGAAGAAAATTGAACAAGAGACTCGTCGAGAGCTGACTTAAACCATCACCCTACTTGAAGATCTCCGCCCCCTACAGAAGGGGTGAAAGTGATACCAGTCTCGGCGAAATCACTTGTGGAACAACGACAAGATATGATGGAATTTTCCTAAAACCGTGGGGCATAATGGTCGAGAATGGCTCGCCGCACTTTGAATAGAAATCTATGGCAGCGGGGACATACCGTCCATCTGGAAGTCAGCAAAAGTGGTCGTCACTTTGAAACCAGGAAAGCCGCCTAATTAAGTGTCTCGATCCTCAGCACAACATGCAAATTGCTGGAGCGGGTGCTGTTGGCTCGTCTTGCGCTTAGGCACATAGCCGAACCACCACCACATGAGTACACCATATGACACTGCCGCTTTAGTACATAGTATTATAGTTTCTAGTATAGTGGCCAGTTTGATTGTGCTATCATGCTTGATTGTGCCATCACTTGGGATTCAAATAATTTCACGGTACGATATTCCATT